TTGAGGAGGGAACCCAGGCACGTTAATTATAAATAAAAATATGGCTGTTTCTCATGAAATAACCTACAGAGACGAGTATCGGTTACTTAATTTCTAATAAAATTTGCCTTGAATTTGATGCTTACTAAAAATGCGGCGTTGGCGTTGTGGTTAGAGGAAATGCGGCGATGGCGTAGTGATTAGAGCATCCGCCTCGCATGCAAAAGGTCCGTAGTTGAAATCCCGGTGCCGCGCAGTTCCCAACCGAAATTTAAAAAAAAATCCGCATGGAGATGGAACTGCATTAAGAGGCCTGGGGCGCGGCCTCACCGGTTACCACCGCCGGTAACGCACTCCCTCACCAGAGAAGGGTTGGCAACCCTGGTACTACAGTATCTGGCCACTACCTCCCACATGCACACGTCAATTAACTCATGGCACTCAGTCCCCAGCAGCTACGAAGCAACTGACCACGGCGGCGGTCAGATCTGCAACGCAGCAGAGGGTGCTAAGAATCTCTGGATCCGGACTAGGCCGCCATGGGAACCTGAACTTGGCAACGTTTAATGCTAGAACCTTATCTAGTGAGGTAAGTCTAGCTGTACTATTTGAGGAGCTAGATGGTGTTAAATGGGATGTAATAGGGCTCAGTGAGTTTAGGAGGACAGATGAGGCATATACGGTGCTACAGAATGGGCACGTCCCTTGCTATCGGGGCTTAACTGACAGAAGAGAACTGGGAGTGGGGCTCTTAATTCACAGAAACATAGGTGGCAACATAGAGGAATACTATAATATTCATGAAAAGGTGGTATTATCGTAATTAAACTGAATAAGAGATACAAGATGAAGGTGGTACAGGCTTACGCGCCTACATCCAGCCGTGATGACGCTTCAGTTGAAAGCTTCTATGAAGACGTGGAATCGACAATGAGTAAGGTAAAAACACAGTATATTATACTGATGGGAGACTTTAATGCAAAAGTAGGGAAGAAGCAGGCTGGAGACCAGGCAGTAGGAGATTATGGCATCGGTACTAGAAACGCCAGAGGAGAGCTACTAGTAGAATTCGCAGAAAGCAATAATTTACGGATTTTGAATACCTTCTAACGAAAACGAGGAAACCGCAAGTGGACATGGATGAGCCCTGACGAAAATAAGAACGAAAAAGACTTTATAATGAGTGCACACCCAGGCATCGTGCAGGATGTGGAAGTGGTTGGCAAGGTACAATGCAGTGACCATAGAATGGCACGGTCTTGAATTCGCCTAGACTTGAAGAAGGAACGACAGAAACTGATACGCAAGAAGCCTATCAATGAGCTAGCACTGAGAAAGAAGTACAGAAATTAAGAGTTTCGCTTCAGAATTGGTACTCAGCTCTTAGTGAGGAAACCAACCTTAGCGTAGATAGAATGAGTGATAATCTGACGAGTATCATTACGGAGTGTGCAGTGGAAGTTGTAGGCAGGGTAGTTAGACAGGACACCAGCAAGATTTCCCAGGAAACAAAAAATCTCATTAGGAAGCGTCAAATCATGACAGTCTCAAGTACAACAGACAAAATAGAACTCGCAGAGCTTTCGAAATTGATTAATAGGCGTAAGGTGTGCGATGTAAGAAGGTATAACATGGAGAGAATTGAACACGCTCTGAAAAACGGAGGAAGCGTCAAAGCAGTGAAGTGGAAACTTGGGATAGGCAAAAATCGGATGTATGCACTAAGGGACAAGAAGGAAAAATAACTACCACTATGGATAGGATAGTTAAAATAGCGGAGGAGTTTTACAGAGATCTGTACAGTAGCCGGGACAACCACGACCTTAATAATATAAGAACTAGCGGTAACCGAGATGACACCCCACCAGTAATGAGAGAAGAAGTCAGAAATGCTACGGAGGGCATAAAAAGAGGCAAAGATGCTGGTGAGGATCAGGTAACATCAGATCTGCTGAAAGATGGAGGACAGAGTGTGTTAGAAAAACGAGCCACCCTGTTTACGAGGTGTCTCCTGACGGGAAGAGTACCAGAGTCTTGGAAGAATGCTAACATTATTTTAATACATAAGAAAGGGGATGACAAGGACTTGAACAATTACAGGCCGATCAGCTTGCTCTCTGTAGTATACAAGCTATTTACAAAGGTAATTGCTAACAAAGTAACGAAAACATTAGAGTTCATTCAACCAAAGGAACAAGCAGGATTTCGAACAGGCTACTCAACAATCGACCACAGTCATACTATCAATCAGGTAATAGAGAAATGCTCAGAATATAACCTACCACTATACATAGCCTTCATAGATTACGAGAAGGCGTTTGATTCAGCAGAAATATCAGCCGTCATGCAGACACTGCGGAATGAGGGCGTCGATGAAATATATATAAACATCCTGGAAGAAATCTACAGGGGATCAACTGCTACCATAGTGTTTCATAAAGAAAACAACAGAATACCAATCAAGAAGGGTGTAAGGCAGGGGAACACAACCTCCCCAATGCTATTTACCGCGTGCTTACAGGAGGTTTTCAGAAGCCTAGAGTGGGAACAGTTAGGGATAAGAGTTAATGGAGAGTACCTTAGTAACCTGCGCTTCGCCGATGACATTGCATTACTGAGTAACTCAGGGGACGAATTGCAACTCATGATTACGGAGTTAGACAAGGAGAGCAGAAAGGTAGGTCTTAATATTAATCTGCAGAAAACGAAAGTAATGTACAACAATCTCGGAAAAGAGCAGCACTTCGAGATAAGTAAAAGTACACTAGAAGTTGTAAAAGACTAATTCTATTGAGGACAGGTAATAACCGTGTAGTCGAACCACGATGTTGAAGTAACTAGAAGAATAGGAATGGGGTGAAGCACATTTAGCAAGCACTCTCAAATCATGACTGGTAGATTGCCACTATCCCTCAAGAGGAAGGTATATAACAGCTGCAGCTTGCTGGTACTTAGCTACGGAGCAGAAACATGGAGACTTATAAAGAGGGTTCAGCTTAAATTGAGGACGATGCAGTGAGCAATGGAAAGAAAAATGGTAGGTGTAACCTTAAGAGACAAGAAGAGAGCAGAATGGATTAGGGAACAAACGGGAGTTAAGGATACTATAGTTGAAATCAAGAAGAGAAAATGGACATGGGCCGGGCATTTAGCGCGTAGACAGGATAACTGCTTGTCATTAAGGCTAACTAACTGGATTCCCAGAGAAGGCAAGGGAGTAAGGGGAGACAGAACGTTAGGTGGGCAGATGAGATTAAGAAGTTTGCGGGTATAAATTGGCAGCAGCAAGCACAGGACCAGGTTAACTGGCGGAACATTGGAGAGGCCTTTGTCCTGCAGTGGACGTAGTCAGGCTGATGTTGATGATGATGAAAAAAAAATGCCGCCATATCCACGAAGTGAATGATGATGAGTGGGCGAAGCTCCGGAGGTAAACCTGGTAAACCATGAATCCTCCGTACATTTTGCCCACTCGATTTTATTGCAACGCTCCCCCTAGCGTACGTCGCCGCACTATATCGAACGATGACACGCGCCATATGTGGCATCATTCCTATTTTATAACATCTCGCATCTTTCATAATCAACTACACGTACCGCCGTCTGTTTATAACATCTTGCATCTTTTGGGCGGACGGACGGACGGATGGACGGATGGACGGATGGATGGACGGATGGATGGACGGATGGATGAACGGATGGACGGATGGATGGATGGACGGACAGACGGACGGACGGACGGACGGACGGACGGACGGATGGATAGATGGATGGATGGATGGATGGATGGATAGATGGATGGACGGACGGACGGACGGATGGAAGGATGGATATGGCTGTACCCTTTAGATCGAGCAGTGGCTAGCGTAATACTTAATGCCGTCGGCTACAAGTACCGCCATCTAGTGAACACTGCAAGAACTGAACGAGAGGTGGCTACATACAGGGGACGCACAGCCCACGCCTTAAGGAGCTTCGCTCCTAAAAAACTAGAAACAGAAGGACGCACTTTGAGCCCTATCTGACCAGAAAAGGTTGCCACGTAAACTCGCTGGGCGTAACCTCCTTGGTTTTGGCAAGATTTAGCGAGGTTGGACCACAGTGCCATGAACTAGTGGCGGTTAAATGTGGGATCTAGACACGATGCGCAGGCCGTAAGAGAGTGCGCGCGTGCCGCTCCTCTAGTCCGGCCGTACGACCTCTCGTTTAGTCCTTGAAATGTCCACTGGATGGCGGTATTTCTATATGGTGAATATATGATGAAGAGATGCGAGATGTCAGTACTTGAAGTGTTCACTAGATGTACGCACGGACAGACATATGCACGGACGGACGGACGGAGGCGTGAACCGACTGATGGATGCTCTGCCCGACTCATCATCATGCACTCCGTGGATATGCTGTCATTTTTTTTTCTTTTTTGCTTCCGTGCTTCCGGTACCTGATCTGTGGAGTCTAGATAGGTCTGATACGTGATACCGAGTCGTTTCAAACGAAAAGCGTGAACTAAGCAGTCGAAGTGGGTTTATACCGCAGCCACACAGTCACTTTTGATCACGATCGAGCCCGATACGGATCGAATTTCTTGACCATGATTGGTTTTATTCACACAAGCTTCGGGAGGTTTAGAATTTAGATCCCCTTGCAATTAGTGAGTAACACCGGTGTAACTATGCTCAGCAAAATTATCAACTTACAGCCGCATTCAATAAGGGTGCTGTGCCTCGTGCCAGCGTAATCACACTGGTAAGCCTACAACTGTACGCCGCACGTGGCTAGAGAAGCTTGACTCCACAGCAGGGGCATAGCCACGAGCATAGTGTGCCTCCGCCTGGCTACACCCCTGCCCCACAGTCGTGCACCGATGCATACCTAAACTTAAAAAACGTGGTTTATTTTCGCCAAGTATTTTAAATGCAAATGGTTCGCAAAAATAAACCTATAGTTGTGACTTCACGCTGTTTCTGTCTTGCGCCACGTCTTTCAAGTAACGATGCACCATCTGGCCCAACATAGCGTACCTGGACGTCGTCGGAGCAGCCGCCCCAGCGCCAGGCACCATGCGAGGCGGCGGGTTCGGTTGACCCGCAGGCACACTCCTTCAGCTGGCCCGTGGCACAGGCGCGGGCCACCGTGTGTGCCACACCAGCGCTATGCAGAGCGTAGAGGAACGCCGTCTCGGGGCTTCCTGCGTGCAAGGTTTGCCATTTGTCAACAGCCGAACACAGTGCAGTGCATCGGGCGGCGCTCTCTTCTTCGGATTAACAGTATCGGTTTGAGCTTTCTTTCTGCTTTCGCAGAATGTCTAGACATCAGTATGAACAAACCGGTCCGCAAAGTGGTATTGCTGCGACAAATTTCAAGTTCAGTGGGCTATTTCCTACCTGGCTGCCTTCTTTCTTTCTGCTTGCACAGCAACAAGATTTCAACATGGAGCAACTTGTCTGTAAAGAAATATTGCTGCAACAAATTTTGTGAAACCTTCGGGTCAACGGGGACACCTCAAGGGGTGGCGATCTTCCCAACGTTTTTCAATGTTTACATGATCAACCTGTGGAGGGTCTTGAACAAGATACTAGACATTGAGCACACGAGTCTACGTGGACGGCCGGGGATAGGAGGGTCGAGAGCGCTCATCGATGTGACTGAGTGCTATCTTATTCCCACCGGCATATACGGTGCTCGCCCACTCATTCTGAGCTCTTACTCTATAGAAAGAGGCCTATAGCTGGTCCTCCTCACCGGTCCTGGAAGCCACATTAGGTTACTCACCAGTAGCGGCTGATTCCAAGAATCCTTGTAGGTTACTCACCCCTCTCAAGCTTACTTCAAGAATCCTTATAGCATGCACCGTGGAATCAGTGAGAAGCCTCTGATCTGGATTATCCACGCATTTGTGCAACGCCACCTCGCTTATTCGGCGGCGCCACTGGCTCTTGTCCAAGTGCAACAAGATCAATACCCTAATCCGAAGTCTTCAAGTGGTCCCTTGGCATTCCCGTTTGAACGCACACGGAAGACCTGCTCAAGCTGGGAATCCACAACACATTCGAAGAAATCGTTGAAGCCCAAGACAGTTTGTCTGATGCTGGTACGCGTCGTCATTCCAGATGCTGTCCAACGAGATATGGTCCAGGATTTTAATAAAGTGGATTCCACGCAATATACACCCAACCTACAACGAAGCACGAACACTAGTCAGCTAGTTCTGCCCGCTGCCCCGCCACGGTGGTCTAGTGGCTAAGGTACTCGGCTGCTGACCCGCAGGTCACGGGATCGAATTCCGGCTGTGGCGGCTGCATTTCCGATGAAGGCGGAAGTGTTGTAGGCCCGTGTACTCAGATTTGGGTGCACGTTAAAGAACCCCAGGTGGTCAAAATTTCCGGAGCCCTCCACTACGGCGTCTCTCATAATCATATGGTGGTTTTGGGACGTTAAACTCCACAAATCAATCAATCAACCAGCTATAGTTCTGCCCGCTTAGCCAAAAAACAAGCCTGCTTCGTATAGATGCCGCTTCGTATACCGCTTCGTATGCCACTTCCTAGCGTCGTTGGCGGCGATTCGGAAGTAATCAGCTGCGCGACCATCTGCACTTCTAGCTGCAGCGTTGCAGAGCAGGTTTTCATTGCTCTTGCAATAACAGATGGTGTACATAACCCAATTTGTTCAGACTCATAGATCACCATCAAGGCATTTCAGATGGGCGTGGTGGCTCGCCAAATCCTTCAGATCGTTGAGAAAGCAAAATACCTAAAACATCACCTCCTGCGCACCTTGGAATTATTCCGGGTGCCTCACGAACGAGAACGTGCACTCAGCTACACGACTGACCGTGCAACGCATTATCTCCACTCTAGCATCTCTGCACGTACAGCGAGATATGCAAGTATCGTTATCTCTCAAGAAAAAAAAGTGCTGCCCCTAGCACACTCCTCGCTGTGTTACTTTCAGACTGCTCCAAACAAGCACCAACTCAAGCCCTGTGGCTCTGCACACAGTATACCCCGAGTAGTTCCTACGCCCCGGTTGGCCCACTGTTTGGTGATTATACCAACTTCCTGTGAAGCTGCGTCCCTGTCTTTTCCACCGAAAGGAAAGGAAGCTCCAAGATCCAGCCAGGTGACGTCGAGTTATCTCGCGCATACTGTGGACTCAGTAAAGTTGTTTCACTCCGCGGGTGGTGGTAGTGGTGGTGAAACATTTAATGACCATTATATGGTTACAGAGAGGTGATTGGGTTGGGGCCTTGTTGGCCTCCTACCCTCACAGCACTAGGTGGAACCCCTATTCCCGAGCTCCATTGGCAAGCAACGCCGCCCGTGCCCGTTGAACCAGGGCCTTTTGGGCATACAGGCATTGACAGCCAAGCAGGACCGCCTCCCAGTCCTCTCTCGTGGGGTTGGGGTTGGGGGGATCAGACTGGCACGCCCAGACGATGTGGAAGGTGTCAGCCACCTCACCACAGAACTGGCACGTGCCATCAAAGGATGAATTGAAATGTTTTAGCACCGCCGGGCACAGTACGGTATTGGTAAACAGTTTTAAAAGGAGGCGCTCGTCAGCGTGATGCAGTCCCTTACAAGGGTCTGGATAGCGCCGGTGCTCCCCCTTGTAGTAATTGGTAATATCTTTGAATGAAAGGGCCGAGTTGTCTGATTAGGAGTAGGCTTCCAAAGACAGGGAGATAGCCCGGGAAGAGAGTGCGCGAGCGGCCTGATCGGCCTATTCGTTACTCCTTAGTCCTAGGTGAACGGGTGCCCAAACCAGATTTCGTGGAGTCGGATTAACGTATCGGCAGCTAGGTTCCAGTATGCGCTGAGCAAGCGGTGAAGCCCACCCTAGCTGATAGTTCCGACAGGCCCCTCGTGAGTCGGTGATGATATGTTCAGAATAGGGATAGGTGAGAGCCAGAGCGATGTCAATATCCTCCACAGGTGTTGCGCTGTAGGCTTTGAAAGTGAGCCCGTTTACGGTGTTTGTGTTGTGTATGACTGCGGCCGTATACCACCCCCCGTGGTGCGGGCCAGTAACGTCCACGTAGCACACGTGTTCCTCTTGACCAAAGTGTCGCGGCGACCACTGTGGTTTTCTTTGGACAGGTTGAGGGGAAGGGGTTGGACCCGGAGGGCGCGTCTCCAAGGTTCTGGCACTCTCACCCTTTCCTCAATATAGTAATCGTGTTTGATGTGTATTCGGTCCAAGAGGCAGCGACCGGAATGGGTCTGTGCAAGGCGCGTGTATTGGTTAACGAGGTGGGCTTCTCGAAGTTCCCGGTAGGTATTCACCACGCCCGGCTAGAAGTCTCTGGTTGGACGTGGCGATAGGGAGGTCGAGGGCCCGATTGATAACTTCACGGTGGATGACCTCGAGTTGATCATCCTCGTGTTTGTGTAGGTGCAAGTAGGGAGTCGAGTAGGGTATTCTACTCGTTACGAAAGCATGGGCAAGCCGCATTGCATCCCTGCTTCGCAATCCGCCCCGCTTGTTGGAGGCGCGGTGGACCATACGGCCCACCTGGTCTCCCACCGTGCGAAGTTTGGCTATTGTGGTGTCGGCCTTGCGTTGGTGGTGCATGAAGAGGCCAACGACGTGGATATCCTTGGCCTCACGGATCGGGCCCGAGAGAAGACTGATATGGAGCTGAGTTGTGTCCTGAGGGGAGGGACGTACGTGCACAAATTCTGACTTAGCCGGGGCACACTGGAGTCCGCAGTAGGTTGCGTAGTCGTCGACTACAGTCACTGCTGCTTGCAGGCATGACTCCATGTGACCCAGGTTACCCTGCGTGGCCCAGATCGTGATATCATCCGCGTAAAGAGCGTGATGTATCCCTGGTAGAGAAGCCAATTTTGGGGGAAGATGAAGCATGGCTATATTAAATAGGAGGGGAGAGAGGACCACGCCTTGAGGAGTTCCCCTCGAGCCGATGACGTAAGGCACATGTTCCTCATCTTGTATGCGTATGTAGGCTTGACGATCAGTAAGAAACTGTCTAACATAATTGAATGTTTTATAACCAAAGTTGGTCTGACTGAGGTGGTCAAGGATTACCTCATGCTTTACGTTGTCGAATGCCCCTTTAAGATCCAAGGCCAGGACTACCTTGTCATTGTGGGGGCATTCAACAGGATCTAATATGTCATGGTGGAGCTGTAGAAGTATATCCTGGGCTGACTTCTGAGGGCGGAAACCAAACATGGTGTCCGCAAAAGTGTGCTGTGTTTCTAGAAACTCGGAGAGTCTGTCGCGTACCATCGTTTCCATCAGCTTGCCGACACAAGACGTGAGGGAGATGGGGCGTAGGTTCTCCACGTCAATAGGTTTACCTGCCTTCGGGATGAAGGTCACGAGAGCTGATTTTCATTCAAGAGGGAGAGAAGTTCCTCCGTCCCAAATGCTATTGATGTATTTGAGAAGCGTGGTGTAGGCTGCGTCGGGAAGATTGGCCAACAGTTTTACCGTAACCTGGTCACGCCCTGGTGCAGTGCCACGCTTCTTCTTGCGTAAGGCCGCCTGGAGGTCGTGGAGCTGGAACGGGGTGTCCAACTGCGTGTTCTTTTTGTCTGCGTAAGAGTATGCGGCCGTCCGAGGGTCCTTGGTGGTGCACAGGTATCGGTCCCTGAGCGTGTTTGCCAGCTGTGTTGTCGTTCCTGTAAAGTTGTGCATGACCTTATGTAAGTGACGTTGAGTTTCCGTGCGTGTTTGCGTTGGATCGATAAGAGCGCGAAACAGGCGCCATGTGTTGCGACCAGACATCTGGCGTGCAGCCGTGTTGCACCTGTCCACCCAGTTAGTGTCGGCTAGCTGATCAGTATATTCCGCAGCTTGCTCCGTGAGTTCTAGGATGCGTTTCTTGAGGCGCTTGTTATGTTTCTGTTTTTTCCATCGTTTGGTGAGGCTGCAGCGGGCCTGCCAAAGATGGAGGAGGTGATTGTCCACGTCCGTTTGAGTTTCCGTGAGCTGTATTAGCAGTTCGTGTTGTTTCAGTGTAGACGTCAATGATTTAGACCAGGTGTCTTATCCCGACTGGAGAGGGTCTACGATAAATAGAGAGGTGCGGAAAGTTGTCCAGTCTGGGATACGAGCTTGTGTAAGTGGGCGTTTTAAGCGTTTTAAGGGGCGCATGTACACGGTTGTGTTTAATACACAATGATCACTACCGAGAGTATCCTGTGTGTTCAGCCAGTCGGCATGGCGTATGTTGCGTGTAATTGTGAGGTCCGGGCAAGTATCTCGTTGCACAGAGTTGCCTACACGTGTTGGGCTGGCGGGATCAGTGTGGAGGGTGAGTCCGAGTGTAGAAAGAAGTTCCGCAAGCTTTCTTCCACGCGTGTCCTCTCGCGGGTAACCCCATAACCTGCTTGGGGCATTGAAGTCGCCGACGATCAAGAGGGGGTCCCTTCCTGCCACCTGCATAGCTTGTGTGAAAGTTTCGCTGAACGTGACGTTCTTGAGCTTTGGGGAACAGTAAATGTTTAAAATATGAACAGGTGGGTCAGATCGCCTTATGGGCAGCACCGACACCATCGTATATGGAAAAGGTGGTGTCGTGGAGGGTGACTTCCTGGGGCGGTATATTGCTTGTGAACAAGTATACATGTCTCCGGGTTGTGTTGAAATGTAGTGTAATTTGTGAGTTTGACGTCCGTGCCGGGTTCCTGAAGGGCAACCACGGCAACGAAGAACTCAAAGGTATCAAGATAGAGGCGGAAATGAGCCCGCTTCTTGTGGTTCTTGAGACCTCTGCAGTTACTCTGTGTTAGTAACAACGGCTGAGTTGCTCTGGCTTGCGACTTAGGGTTGGGGGCCATGTTCGGAGATGGAGGGTGGGGTTGTGTTGTTAAGATTACTCAGTTCACTAGCACCCTGTGCTGACGTGCTGGAATCTTCAGAAAAGTCAGACTCATTTGGAGTCACTCTGTTAAATTTCGAGGGGCGATTAACGTCCATAATGGTCCCTACGCGCTTAAGGACGCGTTGATTGTCTTGTATCCACTTTTGGATAATGTCAGTTACAGTTTGTGTCACCTGTGCGATGACAGTCTCCATCTGACGTGCGATGGTGTCGTGGATAATTTTGGGGAGGTCAGCCAATTGTGTTTCTATTGCATTCACCTGGGTCTTCAGGGCCGCGACGCGACTCTCTACAGTAGTAGGAATCTCCCTGTCTGTTATAATTTCCTCTTCGTCGCTCAACGAGGGCTGAGTAGTGGGATTGTTTCTGAGCGAGTGAAGTTCGCTGGTTAGTTTTTCGTTCTGAGATCGCAAAAGGGCGAGCTCATGCCTGAGTTTTTGTGTTTCGGTAGTGCTTGTGGGAGAAGAAGATGGAGGGGAGGAAGAGGAGGCGACCTCCGCCAAATTGCCTACCTTGGGTTGGTTGCGTGCAGCGTTGCCAGATGTAGCGCCGAGAGCTGGTGATTCCGCCGCGCCAGGTGGTAGCGTTGCCGTTGCTGCTTTGCCAGGGGTTGGCGCCTTGCCAGTTGACTGGCGCTTCGGTTTTGTTGGGGTCCCCGATGTCCTGGACCCTGGTTGCTGAAGCCTGATAAATTTTTCGGTGCATTTGCGGGAGCTGGTGAAGTGCGGACCCCCGCAAACTATGCACGTTGGGTCGCATTCGTGGGGGGCCATTCCCTCAGGACCAGCGCCCACGTTTTGGCCACAAAGACTGCATCTTTCGGTTACCGGGTTGGGACAGATATCCGCCCGGTGCCCCAGTGCGCCACAGCGGTAGCACGCTGGCACTGTCTTCTTGTACTCCCTGACGGGAGTCAGTTCTGCGTTATTCGTGACGGGAGTCAGTTATGCGTGACGGGAGTCAGTTCTGCGTTTCGCGGGAAGGAACGCGGAACGTTCCTTCCCGCAAAAATCAACACAGCTACGTTGGAGTTCTCCAGCTTGCGCGCGTAGACTAGTTCACCAGCACGCCACTGCACACTATATTTCAGGGACGTACTGGTTTCGAGGTCGTGCACAGAAATCACGCCGCGACACACATCACCGGTGAGCTTGAGGTGACCGCGAAGCGGCAGCGGTCCTTTGCTGGTGTTGATTTGAAAGTACGACAGCAGTTTCTGAACCACCTCGTTATTCTGCGTGCCACAGATGATGATGTTTTGCTCCCAATTGGGAGAAAGGGTGATGTCATTTATGTGCTGCCTTCCGATGAGTTGGGAAATGGCAGCGCCGAGCTCACCTTGATGAAACGCTGTCTTGAGGGCTACTGTGACGCGTGGCTTGAGCAGGATCACGTAGTCGCCAGGATTCATCCTGAACGTTGGTTTCGGCGTCCACTTGGAGACTGGTGAAGTCTTTTGTGGAGCTTTAGGCGATGGAGCGCAAGCGTCTCCAGTGGTTGGATTGTTGAGAGGAGTTTTCAGTGCAGACGCTCCTTCCCCGCTTCTTCGGCGGCGACGCCGTCCCTCGACGAGTTGAAAAATGTCGGCTTGCTCCGCCGAAATGGTGGATGGGCCATCGTCTGATCGATTTGTCGGGATATATGACAACGACAGAGTCGTAGGGTCGTAGCCACGTTGTTCAGGCAGCGCCATGCTGAGGAGTTGACCGAGGGGCGTCTCCGCATCCAGCAGCGGCGGAGCCGCAGCCGTGAGGCTTAGCTCGTTTGCTACGTCGTGATGCGAAGTTGCTCGATGTGGCCGAAAATTGGGCGCACCTGGGTAAGATTGGTGTCTCCAGAATCTTGCTGACTTTGCAGATGCAGTCGCACAAGTTTTAGAGCAGCCACATTGAAAGAGCATGGTTCCAGTTGAAAATCGACAGAGCCGGAGCGTCGCGTCCGATCACCGCGTCACGCCGGGCGCGTCTCCCTCACTCGGCGGGCTCTTTTTTACCTGCGCTCTATCCTGTTTCCTTCTGCTTGCGCAGCAAGTATAGATTTCAGCGTGGATCAACCAGTCTGCAAGATATCTTTAGATCCGGAGGATGACCAATATACCTGCACTCTACCCTGTGCTGTCTGTTTATGCAGCAAGTTTTAAATTTCAGCATGGACCAATGCAAAGAAGTGTTGCTGCAAAATATTTCTAGTTCTGTGGGCTCTCTGCTACCTGAGCTCTGTCTCGTCTCCCTTCTTCTTTTCTGCTTGCTCATCAAGTCTAGATTTTAGTGTTTCTTGTAGTAGACGCTTCATGTGTACTGTTCGAAGCAACACTCGAGACACCAAAGCAGCATGCGTCGCAGTGCTCACATTTTTTGCCAATCTCAGGGACACCGTTGAATTTGCTTTTTAGGGCGTGGGCTGTGCGTCCCCTGTAGCCTGTATGTAGCCACCTCTAGTTTAGTTCTTGCAGTGTTCACTAGATGGCGGTACCGTCCCCTGTATGTAGCCACCTCTGGTTTAGTTCTTGCAGTGTTCACTAGATGGCGGTACCGTCTCCTGTATGTAGCCACCTCTCGTTTAGTTCTTGTAGTGTTTACTAGATGGTGGTACTTGTAGCTGATGATGAAAAGATGCAAGATGTTATAAACTAGAAAGCGGTACTTGTAGTTGATGAAAGACGCGAGATCTTATAAAATAGGAATGATGTCACATATGGCGCGTGTCATTGGTTGAAGGCAATCGTTCGATTTAGTGCGGCGACGTACGCTAGGGGGAGCGATGTAATAAAATCGAGTGGGCAAAATGTACAGAGGATTCATGGTTTACCAGGTTTACCTCCGGAGCTTCGCCCACTCATCATCATTCACTTTGTGGATATGGCGGATTTTTTTTTATTACAGCGACGCGCGTGCACGTGGATCGGTGCGAGCAGATGACTTGATCATCGCCTCGTACGTGTTGCTGCTGAAGAATACAATCGTACTCTAGCAAATTTATCTTTCGGTGCGAGTGTGGACCGAACTGTAGACATTCGTGAATAATGTGCTCGAGAGTAAACCATCGTGCGATTCCCGTGACTAAGCACATGATGAGTAAGTTTCATACTCTCGCAGTCACACCAAGCACTTTGGATCAACGTCAGTTCCGATCGGTGGCAATTTTTATAAAAAGTGACGCAGGCTCAATAATGAGTGTATTGTCGTGATGACACGTGCTGGGAACAAACTACATAAATATGGCCGCGGCTGTGACATGAGACATTATGCAGCTGATCACTTGGAAATCTTAATGGCACAACTTATGAATCAAGAGCCTTGCCACTGCAGTTTCTGCTTGTCATGAACCCATTCATCTAGACATTGTTGTAAACACATCTCCCCGCCGCGGCGGTCTATTGGCTAAGGTACTTGGCTGCTGACCCGCAGGTCGAGGGTTCGTATCCCGGCTGCGGCGGCTGCATTTCCGATGGAGGCAGTAATGTTGTAGGCCCGTGTGCTCAGATTTGGGTGCACGTTAAAGAACCCCAGGTGGTTGAAATTTCCGGAGCCCCTCACTACGGCGTCTCTCATAATCATATGGTGGTTTTGGGACATTAAACCCTACATATCAAAACAGTTCTAAACACATCTGAAGCAACAAACTAAAACCTGAACGCTGCAGGAAAACGCCGCCTGGATTACCGGAAATGCACACCTCAGCTGAGGTCTTCTTTGCCAGTTCGTTTGCCAGTTTGTGTACAACACAACGAAACCATCTATTAGGTCTTTGCGCGCCATACATTGTTGCGGAATGTCATGCCCACCTCTGCGAAGCGTGTGCCCGAAGCTGTGCTGTGAGCAGTTCCACGGTTCATGGCGGAACAGCCTCTGGCAGTGGGCGAGTGCCAGCCGAGCGCCCACCGCCACCGCTGCCACGGTGCCCGGCTGCTGGCGGCACAGCTGGCGCTGAACGCGCCCTTGCAGCGGAGCCGACGCGCATACCGTGTCCACGCTGCGGCCACCCAGGGTGCCCAGGTACCTGCGAAATGCAATCGCACTTTTTTCAGATATGGCAACCCTTCTGTGCTTATCGAGTTAGTCTCCACCACAGTCATGACATAGAGCTGTTCGTTTGGTCAGTGAAAAACGATACGGTGACATAATGCACTGTATACAGGGTTGATCGGGTGTCGGAGGCGATTGACCATGCCTGCGGCGGTTCTTCAACTACGAACTATAGGCACCCGACAGTGGACCAGGGGGCGCGACGAAGCTTTTAGGGCCGCCTCAGAATTTCTGATACCGACGGCCAGGGATACCAAGGAAATGAATCTCTCGCTGAACACATTGAGATGCTGAAGTGTCAGTGTCCTTTTTGGCGCATTTTCAAAGAAGGCTTCCTGTGCGCTTACATAATCAGCCATGACCCCCCCCCCCCTACGCACAACTAGTAGTAGTAGTAGAAAACTTAATTGTATACATAATCCAGACAGGCTTGAACTCCAATGCCCCGAGGAATATACGGGGTGAAGAGCGAAGTCTGTCCAGCAGGGTGGGGCCCCTATTCCAGGGCCCCACTGGCGCGAGCCATCCGTTCAGCTCTGTGGATCAGTCGCCGCTAATACAATAGGGCTGGGCTAGACAGCAGCGCCTCCCATTCCTCCCATGTGCCAGTGGTGTCGTGTTCTTCGTCGTGCTCTGCACACTCCCACGTGATGTGAAAGAGTGTTGGGGTGACTCCACACCACGGGCATATATCTCTGTACGCCGTGGGGTATATCAGGTGAAGAGTGTGCAGGGTAAGTGTTGGTCTGTATTCTTCTTAGCGCTGTTGCCTCCGCAGCGCTGAGCTTGCCATGAGGACGTGGATACAGCTGCCTATTTTCCCTGTAGTACTTTAAAAGTGTTGCGAAACAAGGGTCCAGGGGTGTAGGGTCATCACTTGCATTATCTTTAGTGGCTCGGCGATTTGTGAAGCCTCGAGCTGCCTCGTCCGCGCGCAGGTTCCCTGTCACGCCCTCGTGCCCCGGTGCCCAAGTCACAGCCTGTACGTATTTCACTGTGGGGTCCCATCCTGTCCCAACCAATATACGGGGCGCCTGTGCTCCAATTTTGCCTTTAGATAGTTTCTGCAGGCTTTTTGCGAATCTGTAATGATTGTTAATGAAGCGTTTCGCGTCCATTCCTCTTTTATTGCGAGTGCAATGGCAACATCTTCTGCTTGTGTTGTCGACGCCTGATCTATTGAAGCGCAGGCTGTAATTTTCCCTCTATGGTCGGTGACTACACACATATCTCTTTGCATTGGTCTGATAAGGCGCGGCGTTATTGAATCTGGCCTTGTTTAAAAATTTTGTCATTTTGTCAATGTAGTCAGCCCCTGCCTTTCTTCTTCCAGCATGGAGAGTAGGATCCATGTTGCTTGGTATTGGCAATACGGTGTACCATTCTCTAAGTTCGCTTGGTACTTCCTTAGTTTCTTGGTGTGTTTGTAATAAAGTATCGCGCCCTAGATTTGTTAGGACTGCTCTGCCCGTTGGGGTCTGGAGAAGGCGATTTTCTTGCGCTAGTAACTGGGCCTCGGATAATTCTTCAATTGTGTTATGAAGACCAAGCGCCAGCAGCTTGTCGTTTGAAGTATTCCGCGGTAATCTCAGGGCTGTCTTATAGGCCATTCTAATTATTTGGTTTGCCTTTTCCTTCTATTCCCTGTTCATAATTTGATAAGGAAGCGAGTATGTAATGCGACTGATGACGAGGCTTTTGACCAATTTTAGGGTATCTTGTTCTCTCATGCCTTTATGGTTGTTTATTATTCGCGAGATCATGCGTGAGATCTGCTGTAGTGATGTTTTGGGTTGATTTAGTGTGTGCAGACATCTCTGATTAGCTTGAAGCCACATTTCTAATATTCGTACGGTAACTTTCTCCGGAATGACATTCCCGTCGAGCTTGACTTCCAGCTTTAGATTCGGGTCGATCCTCCGTGCTTTTCTCTTCGTGAAGCGAATGAGCTCTGACTTTTCGGCTGAGCACTGAAGACCCCGTATCCTTGCGTACTATTTTGTAACCTATCTTCTTTCTCTGCTAGGCTGCCTGTGGTTGTCCATATCGTAATGTCCTCTGCATATATCGCATGTTGTAGACCGGCAATATCTTTGCGATTCCCCGCAAGGCCTGTCATGGCGACATTAAAAAGGTTCGGTGAAATGACCGCTCCTTGGGGTGTTCCTTTGTTTGGAGGTTTGGAGGTTTGTTGGAGGTTTAGAGGTCCAAAAATTTCGACCACCTGGGGTTCTTTAACGTGCACCCAAATCTGAACACGCAGGCCAACAACATTTCCGCCTCCATCGGAAATGCAGCCGCTGCAGCCGGGATTCGATCCCACGACCTGCGGGTCAGCAGCCGAGTACCTTAGCCCTAGACCACCGCGGCGGGGCGACTGGTCACCCACCTATTGAATGGGAGACATCGTAGTCACGTGATGATATCGTTTTTACACTGATAGAATAATCGTGCTGCTCGATGTGAGCACTGCTCCTCGGCAAGGGCGAACGTGGTGGGCGTACCCGATCTTCGCCGCGGGCGTCTGTCAAACTGATTGACGCGTAAACTCAAATACAAACTCATTGATTCTGAGAAGGCCCCAGTTCAAATCGGGACTGTCATGCTGCCGCTGGGACTGTCAAGCGTTCGATGCGGTGAACGCTAATTAGCAGCAGTTCTTTGCATTAATAATAATACTTGTGCAAGGCTGGAACCATAAAGGGGAGCTCGTGATAACCACGCTTCTTCCAGCTTTTCAAGTCAGCCGTCTACTCATCTGCTTGGTCAGCTTCGAAGTGAAGACTGGATCAGCTGTCTTAATTTTGAATGTACTAGTTGACTAAGACTTAATTATCATTACACTGAACTATTTTTTCTTCATTCATAAGAGTTTGAATTAAAAGGCAATTATCTCGGGCGCAGTAAACAAGGTCATCATCAGTATGGAGCTATTATACGTAATACTGACTAGCACAATCCTCATTATCATCATAGTAGTACGGGAATTACCATAGCTTTACTTAACGTGCTCATGATTAACGTCGCGTTAATTAGCATGGTTTAGTTATCCCGGTCCAAGCTTTACATGGTCCAAGACGTCGGCCTTACCACGACCTCACGTAAATTGCTTGGTCATAGCATGTCCTGGCCTAACTATAGCCAAGTATATGGCCCAGCCAAATAGCTGATTAGCCGAGTGCACGTGCTCATGTGCTGGCAGACAATGAAAACTATATGAAGAGGGCACGCGCTGGTCGAGCAGTGCGCTAGATTGTACAGGCTGACCATGATGGTTAACGCGTGACCTCTGGTTTAGCTGTGGTCGCGATGATGTAAGACGCTCAGCCGGAACTAATCTCAGAAGCTACCGTTCTGTTTATCCTAAAACAGACTTATTGCAGACAATAAAGTCTTTAAAGTAAACTTAGACACCCCGTGCCACTAAAAAAAAAAGCTGCCCGCATCTTCGCAAGGGGGGAACTCGAGTTATTGCGTCGCAGAGTGGTGGGGGTATCCGTGAATGTTGCGTAACTAGGGTATGGAAGGTTGTGGATTGGGTATGACACACGTCAGTCAACGGATGCTCTGAACGGTAGTCGAGGTGAAATGAGCCGCTCTTCCACCGCGCTCATCTCGGGTAGGTATGCGGGTCGAGGCGGGTAACAGTAACCGTAGGTCACGCTCATCGACGGTACGTGCCCACGTACCAACGAGTCCTTACACGATGCGCACACCAAGTACGACTTGAACGCATCCAGCAGTCTCTCGTCGTCATCGTTGTCGCTAACACCACCGCCCTTCAAGTCAACGTTGCCAAACGTTCTCCGAAGAACCCGTAGCACGTTGGTCTGTTTCGCTTTCTTCTTGATGCTCCCGACCAGCGTAAGGTCGTTGTCGAACCACAGTCGGTCGCACACCTTACAGCTGTGTCCGAAGCTGTGGTCTTCGAAGTCGCGTTTGAAACGAGCCGCCGGCTGCGCAAACTGCTTGGCTCGTCCCGCCCCTTTCGCAGCGCGCTCGCGTTCGCGAACATCTTCCGGGGCCGCCTCTCGATGACGACATTTGCACGCCGCTTCTCGCTCACGTACCTATATTGCTCACGTGCCCACATTCCCCACTATATGTATAGTGGGGGGTGTGGACGCCGACGACGAGTGACGTGGTGCGACTAAGAATTTCTGACACAGTTTATTGCATAGGTGCACTTTTACACTCAATGGGACGTCAAACAAATGAAATAAGATGTCTGTGGTTTAAAAACACTGCCAAACTTTGTACACGGTCCTTGACGTAATGCCGGGTTCCATCGTAATTAACCAATGAAATTCAGTGCGCTCAGGGTTGGATTTCACTTACTCGTACTGTTTGCTCATTCAAAAAAGGGTGTGGCTAGAGCTCGGAAAGTTGCCGAGCTGATACCGACTTTCACCAAGCTCGGGCGATCCTGCATAGCGCCCCTGAATTCATCTTCAGTGGCGCTTTTTAACCTTTATTAAAGCTCAAAGAAACACGCCAAAAGTAAAGAAGAAGACAGGCACACGCTAAGACTGCAGCAACAACCTTAATGAAACAACCGCAAATAAAATTTCTAGGAAAGCCAACAACGCATGCATCCCGCAATAGAAAAAAAAAAACATCAAAAAGACGCGCGTGCTTCACAAAAGAGAGAATGACATCAGTAAGCATTTTTTAATGATCTTTCTTGGATAGTGATAAGGAAGGTGCATTTGTTGGGACCATGTTTTCGGATTTGATACGCTTATCACTCACTTTTCGTTTCCTTGCCAATAATTTGCGCACTTCTCAGATCAGGTGAAAAGCCACACACACCCGGCAATGAGCAGGCAGATTTGACCCTCCCCCCACCTGCGACCGCTGATGTTCTTCTTATCCTGCAATCAAACATAAGGCGCGAATTTTGACGAGTTTCTATGAGCGTGTCAAATTCGTAATTCAAGCGACTCAAAGAAAATAAACTAATTTTCCACTGTTTTATTGAGTGCGTTTCAATAAATATTTGTCATTAGTACGTTGTTATATAGTTCGTTATCCTGCTGTGAGTAAGGGCTCATTATGACGTAATAAGAATGAAACCATCAGTTCCGAATGCGTGTGTGCAGTTATTGGCTGCATTCATTTCGAGAAAAGTTAATGCTTTTGAAGTTGTTTCTGGCACGTCCAACAACCCGTAGAACGTATATATGTAACAAAATCATGTTAAATCAAAACGTATTAACGATGCAGAAGGTTATGTTTTGTTACGAGCCACGTATATTGCTCTTTTTTGGTCCCAACTAGTAGAAACGAGGTACTTCCACGTATATTGCTCTCTTTTGGTCCCAACTCACACAAACAAGTTTATTCCACGTATTGGTCCCAATTTGTAGAAACAAGCTACTTCCACGTATATTGCTCTCTTTTGGTCCCGATTAGCAGAAACAAGTTTATTCCACATATAATGCTCACTTTTGGTCCCAATGAGCAACAAGTTATTTCTACGTATATTGCTCTCTTTTGATCCTAAATAGTAGAAACGAATTACTTCCACGTATATTGCCCTTTTTTTATTCCAACTAGAAGAAACGAGTTATTTCCACGTATATTGCTCTCTTTTGGTCTCAATTAGCAACAAGTTACTTCCACGTATTTTGCTCACTTTTGGTCCCTGTTAGCAGAAACAAGTTTATTTCACGTATACTGCTCACTTTTGGTCTCAAGTAACAGAAACGAGTTACTTTTATGTATATTGCTTTCTATTGGTCCCAACTAGAAGAAACGAGCTACTTCTACGTATATTGCTTTCTTTTGATCCCAACCAGCAGAAACAAGTTATTTCCACGTATATTGCTCTCTTTTGCTCCCAATTAGCAACAAGTTACTTCCAAGTATATTGCTCTCTTTTGGTCCCAAGTAGCACAAACGAGTTACTTCCGCGTATATTGCTCTTTTTTGGTCCCAACTAGTAGAAACGAGTTACTTCCACGTATATTGCTCTCTTTTGGTCTCAACTCACACAAAAAAGTTTATTCCACGTATTGGTCCCAATTTGTAGAAACAAGCTACTTCCACGTATATTGCTCTCTTTTCATCCCGATTAGCAGAAACAAGTTTATTCCACATATAATGCTCACTTTTGGTCCCAATGAGCAACAAGTTATTTCTACGTATATTGCTCTCTTTTGATCCTAAGTAGTAGAAACGAGTTACTTCCACGTATATTGCTTTTTTTTTATTCCAACTAGGAGAAACAAGTTATTTCCACGTGTATTGCTCTCTTTTGGTCCCAATTAGCAACAAGTTCTTTTTACGTACATTGCTCTCTTTTGGTCTGAAGTAGCAGAAACGAGTTACTTCCATGTACATTGCTTTTTTTGGTCCCAACTAGGAGAAACGAGTTACTTCCACGTATATTGCTCTCTTTTGGTCCCAACTAGCACAAACAAGTTTATTCCACGTATATTGCTCTTTTTTGGTCCGAACTGGTAGAAACAAGTTACTTTCACGTAAATTGCTCTATTTAGAACCCAGTTAGCAGAAACAAGTTCATTTCACGTATATTGCTCACTTTTGGTCCCAGGTAGCACAAACGAGTTACTTCCGCGTATATTGCTCTTTTTTGGTCCCAACTAGTAGAAACGAGTTACTTCCACGTATATTGCTCTCTTTTGGTCCCAACTCACACAAAAAAGTTTATTCCACGTATTGGTCCCAATTTGTAGAAACAAGCTACTTCCACGTATATTGCTCTCTTTTGATCCCGATTAGCAGAAACAAGTTTATTCCACATATAATGCTCACTTTTGGTCCCAATGAGAAACGAGTTATTTCCACGTATATTGCTCTCTTTTGGTCCCAATTGTCAACAACTTACTTCCACGTATTTTGCTCTTTTTAGTCCCAATTAGCAACAAGTTACTTTCCCGTATATTGCTAACTTTTGTTCCCAAGTGGCAGAAACGAGTTACTTCCACGTATATTGCTCTATTTTATCCCAACCAGCAGAAACAAGTTATTTCCACGTGTATTGCTCTCTTTTGGTCCCAATTAGCAACAAGTTCTTTTTACGTACATTGCTCTCTTTTGGTCTGAAGTAGCAGAAACGAGTTACTTCCATGTACATTGCTTTTTTTGGTCCCAACTAGGAGAAACGAGTTACTTCCACGTATATTGCTCTCTTTTGGTCCCAACTAGCACAAACAAGTTTATTCCACGTATATTGCTCTTTTTTGGTCCGAACTGGTAGAAACAAGTTACTTTCACGTAAATTGCTCTATTTAGAACCCAGTTAGCAGATACAAGTTCATTTCACGTATATTGCTCACTTTTGGTCCCAGGTAGCACAAACGAGTTACTTCCACGTATATTGCTCTATTTTATCTCAACCAGCAGAAACAAGTTATTTCCACGTGTATTGCTCTCTTTTGGTCCCAATTAGCAACAAGTTCTTTTTACGTACATTGCTCTCTTTTGGTCTGAAGTAGCAGAAACGAGTTACTTCCATGTACATTGCTTTTTTTGGTCCCAACTAGGAGAAACGAGTTACTTCCACGTATATTGCTCTCTTTTGGTCCCAACTAGCACAAACAAGTTTATTCCACGTATATTGCTCTTTTTTGGTCCGAACTGGTAGAAACAAGTTACTTTCACGTAAATTGCTCTATTTAGAACCCAGTTAGCAGAAACAAGTTCATTTCACGTATATTGCTCACTTTTGGTCTCAGGTAGCACAAACGAGTTACTTCCACATATATTGCTCTTTTTTGGTCCCAACTAGCAGAAACAAGTTACTTTCGCGTATATTGCTCTCTTTTGGTCCCAATCGGCAGAAACAAGTTTATTCCACGTACATTGCTCACTTTTGGTCCCAAGTAGCGGAAACGAGTTACTTCCACGTATATTGCCCTTTTTTATTCCAACTTGCAGAAACGAGTTACTTCCACGTATATTGCTCTTTTAATCCCATCTAGCAGGAACAAGTTCCTTCCTCCATTAAGATAATCATACTGAAGCACTAACCACATCCCGGTCCCGCTCAAAATGTGTCCGCATCAAATGACTCACATCCAGTTGGACGACGCTGGACGAGGCAGGTGAAGCAGCAGCACAGCCAGCGCGGCCGCCCAGACGTGCACTCCCATCGTGACGACGGCTGAGACTGCGAAACAACGCGCGGGGCAGCCGCGGCTTCTTCCCGAAGCTCCGCCTTCGAGCGTGCTCATTGGAGGTACCACCAATTTCGACCAGGAGGAGGGGCTTGGGTGCTGGTAACTTATTCGTAGAACGAAAAGGCGTCTCATATACTGCTTATTTTTGAGCTGCGCTTTTAAGAGATAAATCATAGGTCATCTCGACTAACAAAGAGAAACACACACGGAGCAGCCACGGCACTAACAAAGAGTTAAATCACAGGTTATCTCAACTTCACTCTTTCATCACCACGCGAAAACGGTTGTTTTTTATATGTCTCGGGAAGATCGTTTTTCCTAGTTTGAGAAGTTCTCCAGAATGCATTTCAGCATACCAAACTTTGCACAGTAAGATGCTCTTTCCAAAAAGATATGTGTTGTAGAGCAACAAAACACTTTAGAATAAATAAACTGTGAAAAAAATGTGAATTTTTTGGCTGCCGGCCGGTAAAAAGTGCAATAAAACACTATGTATAAAAAATATTCAAAACAAAGAAATTTCAGAATATACAACATGTAGGTAAATGACCCAGGGACAGTTTAAAATAATGAATGCTGTACGAAATGTTTCTCTTCACATAGACAAAAAATATCATAACTGAGGCGCTGATTCGTTGCTCATGCCATGCGGTGTAGCATTACATGGTTTTCCGTGAGACACAAGTGTACTCGTACACATTTCTCCGTAAATTTTTATTGCCTTGCGGTAAGATTCTTCGGGTGTACAAATACAGATATCCGCGACGCAAATACTTCCACTATAACTTAGATGTCCAATGAACTTTGCTATTTAATCTAGCGTCACCCTTTTGCATGAGCCACCTCACGGCGCAGTGGTTGGAGTTCTAATGTATGCATACAAGCATAGCTATTTGCATTTTTCGCATATTATCTTAAAAAAGGATCACGCGCAGTTCTAAAACATTTTGCACCGCTCCGTAATCGGAGCCAAGATGTGCTCCACGGGCCCTCTTTTCGTTAGGAGAAGCCCTGCAGCCAGCGCCAGCACACCGCGCCCCAGTGAAATGTGGACTTCGCACGTAACCAGAGTGGCTGTAAGATTGTGCTCAAAGGTCTGAAGCTATACGCTCTTGCGGCGGAAAAAAAAAACTTGAGGATGTAGAAAAACAAACCCGCGACACAAAACATAAAATTTGAAGCTGAGGAGCTGTCATCCTTGAAGCTTGTCCTCACTCAGGTGCAAGAGAGTTTCGAGCAGCGCATGTGTTCAGTAGCGCACCCATGCGCGCGTGATGACAACGTTATGAGAAAAACCAAAGATGCTGGAAACTGTCAGAGGGGGCAACCTCGACACTTTAAACACGCGGCAGACCTTCGTAAATATTTTGTAGAACATGTTTTCCCTGACTCCTAGGAACGTTTTTCTTTTCAATAGCGGGCCTAAATATCTGGCAATTATTACGACTCATTATCGTCAAATCGCGAAGCTGACACTTCGATATTTGGTTTGCAAATGTTCTTTTCATTAGAGAACGTCGATGTTACTGTAACATAATCACGGGGGGCACGCACTTCTGTCAAGTTCACCAGCCTAGTGCACTCTTCCAACAATACACGCACATTGGTTCGCCAATCTAAAATCACTATGTTGCCAAAACGGGCAAATTCAAATTGATTCTGAAAGTTGAGTGGCTGTATCCACTGGAAAATACTGGATGCACGAGAAACAAATTTAACATGCCAAAATAGACGATCCAAAGGCTGCGATCATCGGTGATCGACTTGAATAGTCCTGGTCAGGGACGGATTATCCAAGGTTCATATGAACCGGACCCTCCGGCTTTAGGAGGCCCCCCAAGGGCCAGAAAAAATGGCTGAATTTGCTGTTTCGTTCTAAAAAGTGCAACACTCCTGCTGGGTTCCCCTGATAGAAACAGATTATATGTTTCAATAATCAATATACATGCTTCTAAGAGGTAATAAGGGCAAGCAACGCTACAAGTGGAAGAAACACACACTGTGCTTGGACTGCACTTCTAAGTGTCAGGCATTCCTTCTTTTCGTCTTAACTTCTCGCACAGTTTAGTCTTATTTCAGTATGATCCAACAAACCAGACAAATCTCAATGCTGTCCGTGTGTTTTCGTCTTCTGATATAGGTAACTATTACGATGACAATCTCTCCACATGCTTCGCAAGAAAGAAAATGTCCAGGTGATATTGTACAATACGGAGAGGCTTAGAATAAATATGACTTGTGTTCTTTACAGTTACTTCTAAAAAGTCTCAAGTATGACCAGAAGACAAATCGGGAAAGACAGGGGGCAGAGCGAGGGACCTCTTTATTATTATCATTTTTTTAACCAGGCCCTCCGCACTGTAAACCCGGTCCTGGGCGTGGCAACGAAATAGTTTATATTCACCCTAAAATAATCGCATGGATCGCCGGGTTTCTCTCTAGCGAACTCAGTTTACATCTATTAACGATTCTGGCTTATGTGTTGCTGATGTATTTATTGCCTGGAGTTCCTCAGGGCACTGTACTTCGACCTTTACTTTTACCCATTCCCGTGACGTCTCAAATTTGAATATTTGCTAATGATTGTGGGCTTTACCAATGAGTAACATGTCAAAGAGATAGTCAGTTTTTACATACTGATTTAGATTCCATAAAAACATGGTGTTCAGGCTGGTTAATGCCATTGAACATTTCAAAAACTAAGCTGATGTCGTTTATGCAACGCATACCGACCACCTACTTCCTTGATAACAGTACCGTTCAACTTGCCACCAGATACAAATACCTTGACATCAATCTCCAGTCAAACTAATAATGCATCAACCACATTATTATTACCCTAGCATCTGCTGATTGCGCACTTGGGCTCCTTAAACATAATTTAAAAGAAACCTCGCTGCATGTTAAAAAACTATAGCGTACACAACGTTGCTTCGTTAGAATGCGCGTCTGTCATCTGGGACCCACAACAAATATATATCATCAATAAGTCCTGCTGAACCGTGCTGTGCGATTATTATTTTTTATTATTCCCATAACAGTAGCGTGACCTCGATAAGAAGAAAGCTGAGTTGGTGAACTTAGCACTTCGCTGAAAAATTCCTTGGTTATCACTGTTCCATAAACTGTATCATTCTCTCCACGATGAATTGTTTCAGTCACCGCTAACTATCTTCCCCCGTCGTGATCATACTTATAAAAACTGCCGCCGACATGAGCTCTCATTGAGTAGTGTCTCGTCCTCGGACTCCTGCGACCGTGTCCATCTTTCCTATCTCCTCTTCCATGTTCGCTGTCCCTGCACCTCGCTCCCTCCTTCCTCCATCTATTTACCGTTTAACCATATCCCTTTAATCCTTCCTTGCCCCCATCCGTCGTGAGCTACTGTTGAGGTGTCGTACTCTGATGCAGACAGTTACAGCATTTTCTCTTCTTTTATCTTTAAAAATAACACAGGACTGCGTCCCGCATGATGAGCTAGTTTCCATACTTGAACATGTCAATGTTGGATCGGTGATTACAGAGGACATAGTTTTAGCACATAAGAACTGTAAAACGCGACTAATCATTAACAAGATACCGGGGTCTCCCATTAGGCTGGAACGTTCTGTACGCCAGGGCTGTCCGGCAAGCCCACTCTTTTTTGCACTGTACGTAGAAATATTGTGCTTGTCCAAAATAGAAAACGAGAGAGAGAGAGAGAGAGAGAGAGAGAGAGAATAAACTTTTATTATAACAAATGCACACTGAGCCTTCTTTGGGTGGGGCCCTCAGTCCAGGGCTCCATTGCCTTGCGCGACCCTGCGAGCCCGCTGGACCAGCTGCTGCTGTTCCTGTCGGCGTAAGCTGAGCAGTGCAAACTCCCAAGAGGTAGGGGTGGGGTTGGGAATGGGAGGAACGCCCTGTGGGGCAGAGCATTCCCACGTGGAGTGTTACACAGTCGGTACGGATCCACAGAAGGGGCAGTAGGAGGGGTAGAGAGTCGGATGAAAGCGATTTAGCATATAAAGGCAAGGAAATGAATTGGTCTGTAGTTGCCGCCAAGTGACAGCATCTGCTCTGTTAAGTGAAGGATGAGGGGGGGGGGAATACGTATAACGGCTCTGTCGGTAGTACTCCAGCGTAGCGTTGTAGTTTAGTGGTTCTGTCGATGCGTCGTCTGGATTGGACAGCTCTTCCAATGGAGCCCGGCCGGTCAGCTCTCGGGCAACCGCATGAACGCGTTCATTACCATGGAAAGAGGCGTGTCTAGGAGTCCAGACGATACGCACAGGACGTAATGCGGACGGTGTGACAGAAGAGAGGATATTGTGTGTATGTGCAGCCACGAGTCCTTGAACGAAAGCACGGCAAGCAGCTTGTGAATCTGTTACAATAGTGACAAGGGGGTCATGTGACGGTGTCGTAGCGTGAACAATTGCCAAAGCAAGCGCTCTCTCCTCTGCCAGACTACTATCTGTAGTGCGAAGTGTGGCAGACGCCACAAGGGCGTCTGTGTCATCTGTCACGGCTAAACACATGGCTGACTTCTCTGGGTAGCGTGCTGCATCAGTGTGAAGTACTTGTAAGTCTGAGGTACCATAACCAAAGACGCGTGTCATAGCCTGAACTCGGGCACGTCGATGACCGGCGTGGCGGGAGGGATTCATATTGCGTGGAATCGGAGGCACTTTGATGAGTGCGCGGACAGTAGAAGCAAGTTTATGTCGCTGTACTTGTGCGGGTTTTTTGGGAATCGGGTAGCCAAGACGAGACAGGATGGCGCAGCCCTGACGGGTCTGCCTGAGCCGTTGGAGCTGACTGTTGTGCTGGGCCTCGATGAGTTCGGTTACGATGTTGTGGACTGCTAGTTGAAGGAGACGTTGTGTAGATGCGTGTGTGCAAGCCGAGAGCCGCCTTCACAGCTGTCCGTAGAAGGATGTCCATCTTTTTGATTTGAACTAGCGTGAGATTGTGAAAAAGAAGATGATAGG